CCATCAGGGGGAAGGATGGAGGAAGGAGCATTGGTAGAGGAGGAGGAGGGGGAGAAGAGGACCAGCCCAAAAGTGGCAGTATCTGTGGGATGGAGGCAGGGAGCCCCCGCATTCCTTGGCAAAAATGGCCCATAGCATCCCGGTTGTTTGCGTAGGGGACAGCCGAAAATAAACCATCGCAAGGGATGACTTTTTGGCTGTCCCCCTTTGTTGGCCCCTCGTACCGTTCAAAAATGGTGGCCTTTTTCACCCTGCTGAGAGGGAGGCCAAAATAACGTACTATAAAAACACCTATGTAGTACTGGTTTTTCCCCTTTCTGCCCCAAAACGCCATCCTCAGACACTGTGGGCCCCTGTGCGTTGGTTCCGCTGCCATGGCACCCGGGGGGTGGGGTGGTAGGAGCAGTGGCGCCCCACCAGCGCGCTGCCTCAGTCTGCAGTCGATGAGGGTAGCTTTCTTCACCAGGCAGTGAAGGAAATACAAACCCCCCGCAGCAGCAGAATCAGGTGGCCTGGAGCAGGCCTCAACAACAGGCTTAGCTACCCTTTTGGACGCCCCCTCCCAAAACCGAGGTAACAATCCCTTGACAAATGGGCAACGAAATTGCCTTTGGCCCCAACTAGCTGAATTTGCCCTTAAAAGGGGCTGCTTGCCCCGGCCAGTGCGTGGCATCGGAGCGCGTGTTTGGGTGCGGCAGAGGGATTGAAATCCGCGGAGGACACGATGTCCACCAAAGTGTGGGGGACTCCGTTTTTGGAAAAAAGAATCAGGCGGGATTTTGTCGGATTTCAAACCACCAGTTCCGACAAAACTGACTAAAACCGCCATGAATCATGCCCCCCAAAATGTGCCACTTTAGGGTTTCCCCACAGTGGTGTGTTCCATTTTTTGTCATAGGGTTTTCTGGCGATTCGGGGCCCCCCATAGCTGCGCAGGCCCTAATTCCCTGGGGCCCCCTTTTTGCCTTATGCTGCTGCCAAATCCGATCTTCATGGGCCCTGTAGGCCCCCATTGGGTTTTTTTGGCCCCTCGCCACCTCTGCCCCGTGCCCCTTTCGGTTCCTCACATGCTGGGTGGGTTCCATTTTTTGTTTTGGGTGCGGCAGTTTAGGGGTCCCATCTGCTGCCAGGCCCCTAATCGCCTGGGCCCCTATCCGCCTCCTCATGCTGGAGGTCCGAGTCTCTCTTTGGGCCCGTACGGCCTCCCATTGTGTGTCTCCATCGCCAACTCTGCCCTGTGCCATTTTAGGTCTCCCCACATGCGGTGGTTCATTTTTTGTCTAGGGTTGCTGGCAGTTTCGGGGCCCCCCATTGTGCGCCAGGGCCCCCTATCTGCCTTTGGGGCCCCCCCCACCGCTCCTCTTGCTGCCGGCCGTTCGTCATGGGCCACTTTGTCGTGTTGGCTATTCCCCTCTTCAATGCTCCCTTTTCCTGCTACTCTCTTCCGGATTCCCTCGCAGTCTTTCTTGGAAATCCGTTTCCAAAAAGACAAAGTTTGCGAGCAGCACCCCACGGTGCAGAAGTTGAACGTCCTCCCGTCCCAAGTTGTGTGCCCGGTGTAATCGTCATGCGCCCCTGTACCCCCCTCCCCCATGCTGCTGCCAGGTCCAGAGTGGTCATGGGCCCCCCCTACCGACTCCTCATGCTGTGCCAGGCCCGTAATCTGTCATGGGCCCCTGTCCCCGCCCTCATCCCTTGCGGGGCCAGGTCCGAGTGTGTCTGGGTCCCGGTAGGGCCCTTTCCCTTTGGCTGCGGGTCTCCATGGGCCACACTTTTCCCAAAGTGCCACTTTCGGTTTTCCCCCTCACACTGCTGGGGGTTTTTCAATTTTTTGACATAGGTGCTGGAGATTAGGGGCCCTTTCCCATATTTGCTGCCGGGCCCCCAAAACTCCCATGGGCCCCTATCCCCCTTCCTCATGCTGTTTGCAAAGTCCAGAGTCTGTCAGGGGGGCCCCCCCCCTGTAGGGGCCTTCCCTTTGGCTGCTGTCTCCACGCCACACCTGCCTGGGCCACTTTCAGGTCTCCCCCCAAAAACACTGCTGGTGGGTTTTTTTTTTTTGGGACATGGGGGTGCGGGCAATTAGGGGCCTCCCTTGGCTGCCGGGCCCCCGTAATCGTCAGGGGCCCCTGTACCGCCTCCCATGCTGCTGCCGGGGCCAAGTGTCTAGGGGCCCCTTTAAAGGGCCTCCCATTGTTTGCGTCCCATCCCACCCTCTGCCATGTGCCATTTGGGTTCCTCACACTGCTGGTGGTTTCCATTTTTTTCATAGGGGGGCTGTATGGCCCCCCCTTTGCGCGCCCCCAAAACCGCCACACTGTGGCCCACACTCTGGTTGGGCCCCGTGACTGCCCCAAATGATGAAGTGTGCGTGATTCTAAGATCGACGGCACCCATCTGCATGTCTTAACGACTGTTCAGTATTATTTTCTTCTCCCAGCAGACTCCAAGGGCATTTAAATTAAAGGTACAGTGTTCTGCACTAATAATAAAAGGCTCTCAGAAGCCTAGAAACAACCCATTTATAAAATTTAAAATTCGCAGCGAATATATTCCGACTCGAATCAAAATTTTTTCCACTAAAATATCGCCCGAATCAGTCGAATCAATTTTTTGAATAGCATCTCACATCTCTAATTTTATGGCTTACAGCTCATGAAAACCCCAAATCCACAATCTCAGGTGAAAACCCAAATCCACAATCTCTCAGAAAATGAGGAATATTCCCATGCAATCATAAAACAAGGATTGTAAACATAGGAAACTATATCGGACCTCTGAAAAGTATAAGCATGCCATATGTACCTCAGTACTTGGTTTGGTCCCCTTTGTAGCAAATTACTGCCTCAATGCGAAGGTTTTCAGTAATTTCTAGTTACATTTTTTTTTAACATACTACAGATTTTAACATGTGTGCAAAATAATGTAACATTGCCCCAGTAGTCAAGCTGATTCAGATATCTTTTGAATTTAGAAAAAAAAAAAAAAAAAAAGAAAATTCAAATATAGCTACTGCAAATACCTGGAGCCTGGAGTTGGCCAGTTTAATGCTAAGTATTTTTTTGTTGCTCTTTAGCCCTCATGCACACGGGGGTTGTTTTTACAGCGGCTGTTTTTGGCTTTTTACATTTTTTTCTACAGCCAGTAAACCCCCAGCATGTTCTCCAATGTGTCCATTCACACATAGACTGGAATCAACGTTTTTTGGCTGGGATGTTTTTTGGCTGCAAAAAAAGCCAGGACTAGTGGGCTTCTAGAGGTGTTTTTTAGCTGTAAAAACGCTCTAACGCTGCAAAACGCAGTAAAAATTGCCGCAAACTGGCGTTTTTTTTTCTTAGGACTTTGGTGAAAAAAACTGCTAACGTAGAAAAACGCTGCAAATCGCCGCTAACCGCTAATGCAAAAACGCTAACAAAAGCTGAAGACTTTACACAGCTAAGGTTACCAGCGTTATTAAAACGTCCCGTGTGCATGAGGACTTAGGCTCCATGTACACTGCAGCTGATAAACTGACGTTTAGGAGCTTTTCTGCGTTTTTTTTCAGCAGCCCTTGAACTCTCCCTAATGTTTTCCTATGTCTCCATGTACACATTGTCATTTACAGGCAGTTGAGTTTACAGTTGTTTTTTTGAACGCACCAAACTTGCGTTCAGGAGTAGATTTTATCAGCGTTTCAAACGCCAAACGCTTGTAAACGCGGCTAACCGCGTTTATAAGCATTTGCATATGGAAATTTTTTTTTAACTGTTCATTTTCCAGATGCTGTCCAGAGCCTTTTTCCTCATGAAGCAGCGACGCAATCTGTCACCGGCCGTGTACCTCGGACACGGGCCGATGACAGATCTGAGTACCGGCCCCCGTTGCCGGTACCATGTGACCTGCTGTGACCAATCACAGCAGGGTCACATGACAGTTGTATACAATGGATGGCTTCATTCATGCCATCCATTGTATACTAGTGTCTAGCTGTGAATGGTGACAGCAGGTCACATGCACATGTCATGTGATTAGCTGTGGCCAAATCACAGCTAAGCACAAAAAAAAAAAAAAAAAACCTGAATGAATCGATGTCATTCAGGTAAATGCTTGCTTACATAGTAAAATATGAAAAAAAAATCTTAAAAAAAATAAAAAAAAATGTAATAGAAAATTAAAAATAATAAAAAAAATATATATATATATATTTTTTTCATACTGTCACCAGCCAGTGTCCCTGTTCACCGCTATGCCAGTTATATGATGATGCTGTAAAACTGCACTGGTGACAGTATGTAAAAAAAAAAATAGTGAAAATAATTTTTTTTAATTTTTTCATTTTCCGAAAAATTATGACAAAAAAAATACAACTTAAAAAAACTCGCCATGCCTCTTATGAAGTACGTCAGACTGTCTACTCTGTAAAAAGGGGTCATTTGGGGGATATCTGTACTGTTCTGACATTCTTGGACCTCAAGAAATTAGATTGGCCGTCAGTACTTCAGGATTGATCAATATTCAGATCTATACCATAGTTTGTGAACTCTATAACTTTCCTACAAACTAAATAATACATCCTAATTTGGGTTATTTTCACCAAAGACATGTAGCAGAATACATCTCAGCCTAAATTTATGAAGAACAATTATTTATTTGCAAACTTTTATAACAGAAACAAAGAAAAACGTGTTTTTTTTTAAAAATGTTTGGCCTTTTTTTGTTAATTTAGTAAAAAATAAAAACCCCAGCAGTGATTAAATACCACAAAAGAAAGCTCTAGTTGTGTGAAGAAAATGATAAAATTTTAGTTTGGGTACAATGTTGTATGACCGCGCAATTGTCATTCAAAGTGTGAGAGCGCTGAAACCTGAAAACTGGCCTGGGCAGGAAGGTGTAAAATTGCCCGTTATTGAAATGGTTAAAAAAATGCTTCTAAACGCAAACGCTCGTAAACGCGGTAAACAGACGTTTTTTAACCTACGTTTTCCAGCAGTCAGTTTCCATCGTTCAGAAGTGTCCCGTGTACATGGAGCCTTATAATGGGAAGAAATCCATTTCTTAGCAGAAAATATAAAAAATAAAGGCAAACCTTGATGCCGATGATATTTAAAGTAACAATATTTACAGCTGCACATGTATGCATTATTTATACGGCAAGAAGCATTTCCCGAGGCACTTTTCACCCAGGTTTTAGTAAACATAACGCTTTTCAGCCTCGCCGTTTGTAGAAGAAAAAAGGACCTTAAATTGCCAGGCGGTAATTTGTCTCCTTTTTAACGCTCATTTGGCTGCTCTTATGAGAAATTGTACATGAATGTGATATTACAAGTGGAAATACCGAGCCGATCAGACGTGATGAGAGTTGGTTGACGAGAAAGCGCCACTTCTCCAACCTAATGAATAGCTTCTTCTGGCAGATGTCATTTAAGTAAACAGGCCAGGAGGAGAAAGGGATGTTGTTCCATTGTACCTCGGCTGCAATCATTTTCATCGCTGGCTGTCATTACGCTGCTGGTCCCAAACGGGCTGCCGCTATTTTACTAAGAGAATCGAAATGGGAAACAGCTGCTGAAGATGTGTGCAAATATTACCCCCGTTTCCTTAATCTTTGTCCCTTTCCAGGACAATTATCCAGTCTGATCTTCCTATGTCAGATCTTCACGTAGTAATAACCCTGTAGTGTTTTTTTACATTAACCCCTCACCCTCCAGAGGATTTACCCCCCTTCCTGACCAGGACATTTTTTTGCATTACAGCGCTGCGTTACTTTAACCACTTCCAGTCCGGACACTTTCACCCCCTTCCAGTCCAGGTCAATTTTCAGCTTTCAGCGCTATCACACTTTGAATGACAATTGCGCGGTCGTGTAACATTGTACCCATATGAATTTTGTAACATTTTTTTGAGACTGATAAAGCTTTATTTTGGTGGTATTTATTCACCACTGGCATTTTTATTTTTTTGCTATTTACAGTTGTGACCAAAATTATTCAAACCCCATTGAAAAAAAAAATGTTTTTGGCCAGTTTGACAAACTTTTGATAATTCAGTCATCTTTCTTACATTTAATCTTGGCCAAAATGTATTGTAGTTCAGACAAATATAACATAACAAATAATGAAATAACCACAAATGTCTTTTATGCCACAATTATCATTTTATTCAAAAACAAGTTTGACATTCAATTTAGTACTTAGTATTTTTTAGTATTTCCTTTTACATTTATAACAGCTTTAAACGTGAAGCATAGCTTGACACAAGTGTACTTGCACTTCTGGGGGTGATGACAATTTTTTTTTTCTTCATGGGCAAAGGATTGCAGTTTAGTCACATTCTTAGGCTGTAAACTGCAATCATTTCTCCTAAGTCTCTCCAGAGGTTCATCAATGCAGCCATTTAAAAATACTGTGAGAGCTGTGATGGCCAGCTCCAAATTTTTGCATTACGCCTTTACTTTGCAACCATGCTCTATGGACTTGGAGGTATGCTTTCATCCCCTTCCAGTCCAGGTCAATTTTCAGCTTTCAAGCGCTATCACACTTTGAATGACGGACTGCATCACGATCATCCAACACCTGTACCCATAGAGAATTTTGTAGGTATTTTTTTGAGACACGCTAAAGCTTTGTTTGTACCTGCAGAAGCAAAACAGCCCCAAAGCTATGATAAATGACCCTCCAAACATGCTTCACAAAAGGCAAGGTGTTCTTTTCATCATAGGCCTTGTTCTTCCTCCTCCAATATCATAGCGTTGATCCATGGGCCCAAAAGTTTCTAATTTTCTTTCATCAGTCCAAAGAACACTATCCCACAACTTAGTGGTTTGTCCAAAATGGCTTTTTTTGAGACAAAAAGCAGTCGACTTTCTTATTTTTTTTTTACAGCAAGGGGTTTGCCTGGGAGTTTTTGGCACGGAGGCCTTCATTACGCAGTGTGCGTCTTATTGTCACCATGGGCTGAAACTTACTACTTGTACCCACATCTGACAAATTTTTTTCAGTTCCTCAGCAGTTTTTTTACACTGATTGCTTTTACACCCATAAAGCTTCTGTAAAAGCAATCATTTCTCCTTCTCTCTGGCTGCATTCCTGCAGCCATTGAAAAATACTGTGAGAGCTGTGATACAGCTAGTCACAGCTTGTTACATTTTTGCATTTCGGCGCTGCCCTTTAACCTTGAATTTGCCGGAATGATGCACCCCCTTCCAGTCCAGGTCTCTTTTATGTTTTCACATCTTTGCAACTTTGAATGCCATTGCCCTTCCTGTGAAGAGTACCCATATGAATTTTCTAGCATTTTTTTTTGAGGACAGATAAAGCTTTATTTCACCATGTGGTATTTACCACCACTGGGATTTTTATTTTTTTTTTCTATAGGAAATGAAAACAGTCCAAACATTTTAAAAAAAAGTGTTTTTTTTATTATTATGCTTGATTGCTGCTCATAAACATCCAAAGGTGTTTTCAATTATCTTTATGTAAAAAAAATAAATAACCCAAATTGTTCTTAACAGAAA